TTAATAAAGTAAAATTTAAAAGTAATCAATAAACTGCAGATTTCTTTTTGCACCAACCAAATGAAGATTCACTGTCAGCATTACAATAGTAATTCTTTTTTCCAAATAAATACTAAATAGAATATACAATCGCTGTCAAATTTAAGTGCTCAAGTCTTAAACATCTGTGTGCAGGTGTGTGCGTGCATGCATAATACACATGCATGCACAAAATAAGCAGAACGTGCAATGTATTGTAGTAATAGCTCTCTTCTTAGAGCCAGATTTATGTAACAGCATATATCTTCACTACCATTAAAAGCTCCCCAGTATCTCTAGGTGTCCGACTTGAATAAATCCGGGAAACATTCTGCTCACACACTGAGTTTTAAGAAAAGTGCAGTACGTGTCAACTTCAATAAAAGCAGTGCAGTTCTTTAATTACCCCATTCACCCAGCAGCTGCTTTAACGAAGAATTTTTCTGAACATGTAAAAATGTAAAATACCCCCAAAATCAGTCATCTATGTGCAATGACTACTCAACATCTAACAATAATGGATATACTCAAGGACAAAAATGTGAGTCACACCAAGCCCATAATTCTCAGTGAGTGACTGTAAAGCATTTACAGTCAGCGTTAAGCTTTTAAAACTCTAACCCTAATCAATTGTAAACAAAGAAACAAAGACCTCATGGTTATTTTTAAAATCTTTAACACTAGCACAAGACTTCAAATAATTTTTCTGCTTTTTCTGATTCAAACAGCATTCTTCCCACGTAAAATATGTGCAAAAACTTGTGCATGAAAACAGGCTAGTACATGCAAGTTAAAAAATCACACCGCCTATTTAAGCACATGAACTAATTATACCTGGCATTTTGGACTTTGATGGTAATATATTGCTTGCCATAGAGAAGAAAACATCCCTGTTAGCCAAAACCAAAGGTGCACAAGATCCAGAAAGCTAAGTGCAGACAATCTCTCCCTTTCTCCAAATTCTCATGCCCCCAAGCCTTTTAATGATACAGGAGAGCCAACATCATCTCCGCAGGCTGCAAAGAACTTGGAAACTCACAACTTGCACACATTTATTTCAGCCTTGGTGACAGCACAGCAACAAAAAGCCCATTAAAAAGAAAACAGGCAGATTACCGGATGTGATCAACTTGCGATCATTTTTTAGTAACATGCTCATGAATGGGTGCCAGCTAACTCATCTGAGTGGAGAGCAAACCTGATTTATACACAGCAGGATGATGACAGATTATTTTAAACCTAATAATAATTTCTAGCAGCAACGCAACATTACACTTCATAGCAGTACACACTTTGTAGAAGACATTTCCTTTGTAAAAAACTGTTTGTGTGCTGTTTGATTAATTTTAGGAGGAAGAGGGAATGTGAATGAGAGAAACCCAACTGAAGGTGATGAAAGAACACTGCAGAAACAAGCAGTCAGGTGAAAGAGGATCTTTGAAAAAGGCATGGTGTTAGGAGACAGGAACCTTGCCAATTAGCAGTTAAGCGATTCCCCTCACACCAATTTTTTCTAAAGGTAAATGTAGCTAGCTTTGACTAACTTTTCAGTGGAGGCTGCTAGGCTGTGAAGATATTAGTTACAGTGAGACGCCTGCCTCTCTTCTCAGCCACAAGGATGTCTAAGATGACCCAGTCTGACCCCAGGTGTAGCAAAAGCCACAGAAGCCAGTGAGGAATTCCTCTACCCTACCCAGCCATTTGTTCAAGCCTATACCTCTGCAAAAACATTTAATCTTCCTTCAAAAGACAGAAAAACTACTATTCCCTTTTTAATGATTCACTGCTCTTTATTAAAAGTTTGCGCCTTGGAGTTTGTCATTAACTGATTTTTATCTCTGTATATTGTCAACACATACTGCCTTGAAAATGTTTTGCTATGTCTGGAGTATGAAAATATATCAAATCAGTTGTCGCATTACAGATGTAAAGATTACTTTCAGGAATTCACATTTTATTCAGCCAAGTTTGAACTGAAGTTAAAGGAGTTAGAAAGTAACTGTGTAGTACCACTTAAGAAGGTAAACTGTGTTTTGTCTCACATATTTGTGGAGAACATACACAGAAATCATGTGTTTAAAACAACAAACATATGATCATTCACGGGATCCTGATAGATTCTGCTGAACACAGCAATCACTGAGGAGCCAGGAAGTCTAGTTGAAACCAACCTATTATTTGGAGTCTTTATAAGAAAAAAAAATCTGCTTCCTCTGAAATGGTGTTTTGTTTTCATTTTAACACTAGATAAACAGTATGACAGTCTTAACTATAGTATTTAATCATTTTAAGTGCTTGGACATAAAATTTTATTCATCGGCATAACATATCCATGACTGTTATTTTATATCCATACAGCTGTTATTTTGCAATACTGGCTTAATTATGTATTACCACTTAAGCAGGCAAAAAGATTATTAGGCAATCACAGGCAATTCATTAAATATTTTAACCTTGGTACTACAATAGTCCAGATTAAGATAAAATAATACAAATTATGGACTGCCTCAAAGAGCTGTGGAGGCTTGTTTCATTTAGTTTTCATTTAGTTCATGGCCAGAGGAGCTATCTGACCATCCTTTGGAGGAGGTACCTCACTTCTGAGCTCAGCATGGATATCGATCCCCAGCTGCTGACACAGAGCACAGCTCTCACACATGGAGCTGCATCCACTTCACTATAAAACTGCATAGATTGGATCAGGGGCAACAGGAGGATTTGGAAACTATGTGAATGGAGCTTTGCCTCCTTAATTATGCAAGTATCAAGCACTGCACTGCAAGCATAAGCTAACAAGGCTAAAAAAGAGTTTGACTGGAGAGTCCATTTTCTTGAAAACGCATAGCAGTATATAGCCAAGTTAACTCAAACCTTGGCAGAAAAGCACTATGTTTCACACTCTGTCGTATTGTATCTACTTAATTTTTACATATGATTTAAAAATGGTAGTGACTTCTAAGTTTGTGCCCATTCAAAATTCTCTTTGTAAGCCTTAATCCCAAAACCAACATGCCTCTTCTCCTCATGTCACTATTTTTGACCCATAGTTCAGGGAAAGGCAGAAGCAGGCTCCAGTCTGAAGGCACTGCAATATGGCAGTGCTGCTGACGATAAATGAGCATAAATAAAGTTCTCTGCCTGCAAAGGAGCACCTTCCCCTTACACAAGTTCCTCTCCAGAGACAGCACATTATTTTCCTCACCTACATACGCAAATGAGAGGCCAGTTAAAAGATTCTGGATGCAATGCCAACCGACCTGAAGGTTCAGTCCTTTCTTTGGAACAAAGTTATTTTCATCTAGCTGTGCCCCAAGAGGAGTTGCAGTGTTGCTGATCTCAGGTTCCTGACAGATCAGAAAGCCTCTTGTTTTTTGTATGCCCAAGCCATTTGTGGGAAGGCACCTACACTCCACAGCCGTCTCACAAGAAGGATCAGTGTTGAAGGAGCTGTTTAGTGCACTGGTTTTACTCAGTATGGCTTTCAGTACTAGAGATCATCTGTACTGTTCTGCTTTTGGCATGGCGGACATCAAGAGCTCACCACATGCCAGCATCTACTGATGCAATGTTGGACAGAGAAGCAGCAGTGGATGGGGTGGTCTCTCCAGCAGGAGGTGTTGCCCCTCTTCCCTAAAGGCAGCTCAGGACACCATGTGTTGAAAACAATTCTTCTAAGGCAGGTGCTGGTAAAGACAGTCTCTTGTATGAGCAAAGGACAACAGTGTGCTCTCTACGTAATGGAAACTTTTACACCATTCACACACCTTCACCAGATATATTTCCCTGAAATAGGTGTCCTGTCACGTACATGCACTCACACCATTTCTCTCCACTCTAATTGGCACACACAAGTAGTAAGTCAAAGAGCAAAGGTTTATTTTATATCATACTCTGCCCCTGAAATATGAATATGATACATAACAGAGCTGCACAGCTTTCTAGCACGTACAATTATTACCACATCTTATCAATGTAACTGCATCTGCTGAAAAGACTACACCAAGACCAGCTCCTCAGGAACGCTTTTGACAACACATCACCCTTCCCAGACAGCCTCGCTGTGCAGTTAGTCTGTGCATTCTCTGCCCTTTCATCAAAAAGACCCAGGGTGCTAGTTAACTAATATTTGATAACACGATTAACTCTGGCTGAACTAAGCTGGGGTGTGCTCAGGGAAACAGTTTAGCTTGCTTCCATAGCAGGGGTAATAACCTCTGGGAGAGAGTGAGCAAGCAAGCGTGCATGAAGCCTCCCCCTTTAACCAGCACAGCTGCTGACATAGGAAGCTGTATCTCTTGCCTTCTACTGAAGTTATTTTCAGCAGTATAAAGCAGACTTGTGAAAAAAACATGAATCTGAAGTTACTCTAAAATGCTACTCCAAGGACACATTAGTTCCACTAGAGTCAAAGTATAAGCCAGATGCAATAGGTCAAGTTCTAGTCAAAGAGATTGCACAGAAAGTAAGAGCTAATAATTCTTAATTTGGCATAACATGACATTCCCAACAGCTTCTGTTTCTCCTTCCAGTTACTGTGTCTTGGCAGTCTACATATTTAAAAAAAAAAATCATTGCACAAAACACATTTTCTGTTGGGAAAAAGCAAGAAAAGAAAAGAAAGCAAAGCACCTTTCTTTGTAATACTGTCATTCTGAAAACTGAAGATGCTTTCACGGAAAGGAAAAACATGCCGATCAAAACACGAACGGGACAAAACTTCATTCATTCCTTATTTGCTTAAGAATTACTAAAAAGAAACATTTTGCAGGAGGCTAAGGCAACAGTAATTTAGACAATAATAAATTGAACATTGTAAGAGTAACTATTCCACTGAATAAAAGAACTCTGGCAAGAAACTTTTCACATGGTATTCAACAGGCATTCAAATAAATGAATGAAGTATGCAAGTTAAATCACTTCAAAAATAAAGACTTTCCAGCGGTTTACCATAATGACAACATTGTATAGAAAGACACAATAGCTCTTTGTAGCCCCAAAATTGTCAGTTTTATTTCACACAGATGACTTCCAAAAGCATTTTGTCATGACAATCAAGTTTTGAGGGAAAAAAGACAACCCGTCATTTGATAAATAGATGAAAATAACTGTCATTAAAACCACTTAAGCACTCCTCCTTCTTGTTACCCTTCTCATCTGTAACTGATAAGAAGATTTCAGGGAAGCTCAGTCATTGATGGCAGGATCTAGAAAAGAAACAATTTTGCATAGTTATCATTCACATTCATAGCTTCTAGTTACTGCATTTCACTAACCTGCACTTAATTGGCTTCCTTCTGCCACTGGCATGAGCCCAATGGACCATGTATTTCATACAAATCACCACTCACTGCTGCAATTACACCTAATACCATAAAAATATTTTAGGTTGCATCCTTATCACATTAATACTGCATACAAAGGTAACTATAACAAGGACCTGTTATCCACCAACTAGAACTGCAAGCACCAGCCAGTGCATTAGCCAGAAAGAATCAGACATCATGCAGTTCATTACTTATGGAACATGGTTGAAATCGAAACCAGTGGATTTCTCTGTAACTTCTAGAAAATACACCACTTGCTCACAGAAAAGTATCACCAAATCCAATGAAGGACCAGATGCAACAACTAAACAGAATTAGCAAAGAGGCAAACTACAACTATGTGTTTTCCCAAGAAACATTATCCCGAGATTTGCTGGGCTATGCAAGCAGCTTCTTTAAGATGAAAGGAGAGCATGGATTAGTGAAAGAAAAATCCCTGAGCCTTGCACAACTAGACTAACTCACATGCATCCCTGGAAGGCTGTGTGCACGGCAACCCCACTTCCAACATGCTAAGTAATTAATTGTATTCCCACATTAAAGCTACCATGGCAGACCTCCACCTTGGCAGATTTCTAGCTGGCTTTAATCTTCTTCATCTTCCACATGGCAGGTTCTTCACACCAACTGGCCTCAGTGACAGCTGAGCTTTCAATGCCATACACCACCTTGATGCAAAGGGGGTTTGCCCTTTCCTCCACCTTTACACTGCCATTTAGTCATGGCCCTGACTTAACAACTGCACTGCAGCTGCACATCTACTGACATGACAACAGGAAGCGAGGGTCTTCATCCCCACAGGAATGTAGCTGCCTTTTTGGTTAGCATCTTGCATCCTTTTTCGTGCTGAGGACAGAGCATATGGTCCTTCGAGGGGATATCAAAATAAGTATGACAGGTCAGTGCAATCATCATACTGAATGAATTCAGATGATGCCATATCTAAAATGAAATGTATGCATATAATAAAGATTCAAATGACAAAAAAAAAAAAGAAAAATTCTTTATCCTTTATCTGTCCTCTGAATTATTTATGAATTCTGCAACTCCACCTGTTGCCACCAGCCCAAGGACATTACTTCATTTTGGGAATGACACTTGATATTAAAAGATAAGTTAATAAAACTAAGACACTGTGGACCTTCCTTAAAGGCCACAGCAAAACACAATACAACTTCTCTCTTCATTTACAAAGGAAAATGATAAACAATCAATTCAGTTCATGTTTCTCAACTTGTTTCCATAATTCCAAACACAGATTTAAACTCTGATGCATTAAGCCAGCCATGCCTTTTTAACCACTGCAGTTAGGTAAGATTTTCAAAGCATCCTGGATCCTCCATATATTCTTTTAGGGTTACCTCTCTCTAACAGTTCACCATGAATCAACATACAGAAGATTTTAACAATACTATCTCAATTTAGTGGGAGCTTTTAGTACATAATGTGGTTGTTCCAAGAAAATGTGAATGTTCTGCATATATGGAATATATATGCAATTTATAAAATTAAAATATATGCAATTTATCAAATTGCTTTCGATAAAAGCAATTTCATAAGCAATTTCATAAATTAAACAAAAAGAAACAACTTCAACATGTGTAGAGCACAGAGCTTCAACTAACCATGACATACATATTAGTGAATTTTAAATTCTGCTGTCTGCCCACTTAAATGAATTCTCTTGATTCAAGTTCCATCACATACTAGTTCTTCGATTTCAAACAAACAAACTGGGAGGAACAAGGCTTAGCCAGTAAGCACAATTTTCATACCTACATTTACACACCCTTCTCCCTCCAATACCCCTTCAATGAACTGAAACAAGTTTACAGTTTATCTGTAGAGCACAGAACACTGAGGCAGAATAAATATATAAAAAAAAAGTCAAATCAACTATCAGTTTTGGTTGCTACTTTATTCATAGTGGAACCTGACAATTAAATAGGTATACAGATCTGAACTGCTACACAAAATCACCCACACCGTTAACACCTTCCTACTACAACAACATACCAATACTCTCTAGCAGTGCTAAAGGAATGACATTTGGAAAAATCACCATGAAGACGTGACTGTCTTCATGTCAGATCTGAAATGAACTGAAGTGGGTCAAAACCTGCAGGTCCCCAAGTGTCAAGGGACCCCTAAACATTAGCCCTTCATGATTTACCAACAGCCTCTTCTCTGCCACAGAGGAGATTACTCTGTTCTTACCTGTGACCTTTATTTCAATGTTTTCTGCTTTTATTTTTACCTAACTCAGCAGCTATTGGGTTTATGTTCTGCTCCCAGGAGATCCCAAATGCCACAAGAACTTTTAACTGATTAATTATTTGGGATTCTTGTTTGTTTTGTTGGGTTTTTTCTTCTCCATAGTCACCTAAAAGGGAACTAGAAATTGTACAGTTCTAACAGTAAAAGAGAGATGTGTGAATAAATTTAAGAGCTTTCAAGGTACCACCACCATCAATCTCCAGTATCACCCACAGACCTTGCAAGCCATTTGTCAGCTTCCTGCAGCCAAAAAAATGCACCATTTGCTGTGTTGCCAAGCACACAGCTCAGTTGAGGCCTGAAACAGAATGCCAGGCAGGCAGGTATTTAAAAAGCAAACTTGTTTTGGGGAAAAAAAGCAGTGCAAGAGATATTACCTGTGTTGCAAGTGAAAGAAGCAAATGGCTTGCAAGCAGAGACCACTTTCGTTTAGCTGTCAACTGTATCTTCAGCAGTATCTGCTTTTGTTCAGTTTGGTACCATGCAGTGTTACTCAGGAAAAGGAGACGTAGTCAAAAAAAATATTTATTTGCCCTTCAGTCTGCATCAGAACTGGCACTCACCCCTGAACAGTCTCCCTCGCTACTGTGAGAAAGCTACCAAAAGGGACCTTCCCTTCCCATTCTCTTGCTGTTGGCCAAAGAAACAAAGAGAACAGGCAGAGACTTTTGGATGTGTAAAACACCACTGAGCAGGAAATTAAGGTTCAATGGGTAACATTTAACAAGAGCCCCAAATTCTCCTGTTGTCACTGCTGTATATTTGAGGTTATTACTCCCTCACTGTTAACAGTTCTCTAGTATTATGCGAATCCCAGATGTTCTGCACAGAAAACCCTCTCAAACCTACAATTATTTACAGTTGCAACCTGCTCAAATGTACATCTCATTTTTTTGAAAACTAACGAATTAATACAAGTAACATATCTCACATTCCAGGGTTGCCATTTAACTCTCAGTGCCACAGGTTCTCTAGTGTCTCCTGAAATACTTTCTAGTGGTGCTAAAAGAATGACATTTGGATAAAATCACCTGTGTGCTGATAGGAAAACATCCTTCTGAAGATTTTCACAAGCTAGCTGGATGCAATTGAAGTCAGCCCTCAGAAAATAAGGAAAGTCATTTTCCTGACCAAACATGCTCACTAAATGCTTCTGGCTATGACATTATTTCATAATTGACACATTATACACAAACACCTCAAGAAAATATCTTTCTGTGTATGTCTGGATTACACAGCTATTTATACCCAGTGCTTTTGCAGAGCCTTCCCAGTGCTGCACAATGCTCTTGAATACAAATGGCAAACTGATCATTTCAAATGACAGGGTTTTTTTTTTGTTTTCGGTATTTTTAATGTTAAAAAAATTGTACCTCAACATGGTCTTTAATCTAATCCTTACCCTGAACAATTGAAGTACATCCATATTAATCTATTAGATGCTTTTCCACACCACACCTATGGCACTGCATAAATTGCTGTAATTTAAATGAATTACTACTTGAAATTCTCATTTGGTAAGAAACATGCAGTGTTACAAGGCACTGGAACAAAAAATGCGCACTATGGTAACTAAGTTTTATAACACAGTACATTTAGGTTCTCATAAGCCAGCTATTCTAAATTGTTAAAGGACAAGAATATTGGACTGATCACAGAGAACACACATCAGTATGTCCAAGAAATCAATAGTATGAAATTAAATCCACAGTTTATTTAAATACTTTCCATAGCCATATATGCAGAATACACTTTAATAATGCCAATTAAGATGGCTGAAAAACACTACTGCAAAGGACATTAACCCCAATAGTAATTCTGTCTCTGCCCTAGATAACCTGTATTTTTCTCTTTAAATATCTAATTTGTTGAAACTCATTGAAGAAAAAGAACTTGGGGTGGAGGGGAAAGAAAGACAAAAGAAAAAAAAAAACGCCTCAAGTTCTATTCTTACATTATTCTGCATATTACTACTGCTTAACAATGACTTGTTTAAGACTGCACATTTCAACTACCTAACAGTAAGAATGAAAAGCTTCTTGCTACAAGCTAAAAAGAAAGTCTTTACCATGCTCCTTGAAGAGCTCATTTTCACATTACTCAGGCTTCATTATGCTGAATCAATATTCGTTTAGTCACTGGGGTTATTGACATATTTTAAAATAAAAGTATACCCTTCAGCTACTGCACTCATTACGGGTAATTTGTCTTGTCAGGGAGCAGGGAATATTATCCCAGTCTTTCAGGGGCTGACAGCCCATGGAAATACCTCCCCTTGGTTACAACTGTAAATAATTTTAAGGTAAAATATTGAAAAATCAATGACTGTTTCCTGCAATCTGTCACAAACAAATCAATCATAATCTGCACAGCCAGAGAGTATGATTTGAAGGAGATGAGAGCAGATGTAATTCTTCACTGGAATCTCTCATTTCAAAAAATCACTTCACATAATGGTGTTATCATTTAAACACTTAGCAGTCACTGTAACTACCACCCCTAACATTTAGTTGGAAAAAAACACAAGGAAGAGGAAGAGAAATACCACTGCTGTTATGTAAACAAACACTTGATTTAAATGGTTGCAACATTAGCAAATTTCACAGATCTAATAGCTAGGCTTGTCTCTCCACCAAAGTCCAAGATGCTTTTCTTGACCAATGGAAGACTGTCTATAAATTAGCTTCTTAAAACAAAAAGCATTTTAGAAGAAAAGTAGGCTTCACAAAAGTTGAGCAGTAATATTCCATACTAACACTGCTTCTAAAATATTTCCAGTTTGTTCACTCCAAGCTGCTCATAACAGAACTACGCATCAAATTCTCAAGTGATTAAGAAAGGAGAATTATCTGAGGTACCTTTGTCTTTTTAAGAGCAGTAACTATTTCAATGCTTCTTTGTCCTCTACATATTGCATTTCACATCTAATTTTCATTAAGCACATACAGACTCAACTTTAGTGCAGGTAACCACCTTGAAGTACTGCAGAAAGTCATAACTTACATAAATTAATTTATAATATATTTTCAACTTGCACTCAAAGAGATTAACTGTTGTATATGGAATTACATCTGTATAAAGGCTCAATTTATACATAAAGAATTAACTACTGTGCAGTCAAAATGCTATAAACTGATCTTTGTAAATGTGAATAATTTGTGTAAAACTAATCTATATTTACACCAATTTTTGGCCTGAAATTATTTCCTTATCTGTCCCCCCACATTACATTTTTACCCTGATACTACGGTGTTTGAGAAACTTCTGTGCAGATCAGTCAAGATAAAAAAGCAGCAAACAGGATGAAAGTGTTCAACTGCAACCGTGGGCCTAAGCCTGCACTCTTTGCACAAACCAAATTCCCCAATGCTCATGGAGCATTTCACTCCAGAGTCTATAACTTGAACTCTTAATCTTTAACATGCAGAACCTGTTATCACATATTCATTTTAATCACATTAACCTTACCAACTCATATTTCTGAACATTTATCTTACAACTGTGAGACTAAGGAAAAAATGCAATCAAAAAGATTAAATTATTTTCTCTTTTCTTGAAAAAAAAAATCACTTAATACTGTTTTTAAAAATGAAAGAATAGGGGATACTGTACATCCAAGTAAAGCTCTCCAAGGTTTATCTTCCTTTAAAGCAGGCTTTAAGACTCTTTATCTTCTATATGGAAAACACACATCTCTAATTCTTTACTGATGCACATCAAATCCACTATTGTTTGTAACAGCTGGACAGATTCTGATTCTTAGCGAAATAAACTATTAAAGAGAAACTAAATTCCTAGCCCAGAAGAAACCGTTCCTGCCTGAAAGGCTAAGTAAGTGCAGGAAAACTGCAAATGCCAGCCGTGAAGTGAATCAGCTTATCCTGGGGAAAGGCCACTCTATTGTGAAAGAAAGCAGGAGGAGGCAGAGTGAGTAATCGTTAAAAACAAGAGTAGCTCCTAGAAACGTGTTGCAGTACCTCATTTCTTCCCTGGAAGAGATCTATAATGAAGCTATCTGATGGAGAGACAGCCTCAGGCTCATCAACCCTTTTAAATCTCCTCACTGGAGGGAAGACCCTGCTTACTACATTAGGCGTTTCTGGAGGGAGAAGCAGTGTGCCATACTGAACATATCGGCATCCTTCCCCAGTGCCATTCTCCTGAGCCAGGTTGTTATATCTCATGACAATCACCTAATTAGTTGCGTCAAAAATCACAGAAGATAGAAGAAATCCATTCTTCCTACATGCCAGTTCTCCAATTTGTAAAAACGAAGGCAATGACTGTTCCCCTCCATCGTAAGGCACTTAAGAAATGTTAATAATAGTTAAGCCAGTCACATCTCCCAGACAACACTGTCAGATCCATTCTTGCAATATTTGAGAACTATTGGACTCAGGAGGGCGCTCCCACAAGTTCCAGATAGAAAAAGACTCACAAATTCCATCCTTAGATGCAAGAGGTCTCAGAGGGCTGTGCCACAGCAGACATTTCACAACTGCTCTGACAAGGGAAGCCCTAAGAAGAAAGAGCAGCACATGCTGTGGCACTACAGATGCTTATGTTCATAGGACAGGACTACAAGTGCTATTTTCTGCTGGACAAAGCATTAAGATACTGCAGCAGCTAAGAGGACTGTGAAGTCTTTCTGGTTAAGCAGTTGAACTAGCTTCAATTTCTTGAATGAAAAAGTATTTTTCTTCATTTCATCTTTCTCAAGAAACAAAAGAACTAAAGGTTATGGAAAGAGCTGAAAAAAAAACACTGGCTTAAAAAAATCTAGTAGCATTTCCTCTAGTATCCACCTTTCTGATTTACTGCTCTCATAATATTCATTTAAGCCACTAGTGTATGCACATTTATTTAATGCAGCTGCACATGATCACTGAACAATAAAGCAGTGCAATATTATATCATGCAGTACTATTCATATTACACTATTATCAATACTCTACCTAATGAAGTTTGTAAAGTTTCCATGTTTGAGTGTTACAGAAAGAAGAATCCTGCTTTGAAATAGCTCCTGCCTTCCAACTCTGTTCTTCCCTTCTTCAGCAATGCTTAGGCCAGTTTCACTGAGCTCACCTAGATGAAAAAGAAAGAAGAACAATTGTTACAATGATTGTCATCTGCACCACATGATTTTCTTAACAGAAATAGGACCGAAGCTAATGTATCTGGAAATATTTCTTATGCATTCTGTTAGACAGAACCCAATAATTACAAAGGAAAGTGACACTACTGTAATGCCTTATTTAAGGAATCTTAGCATACACAAGACAAATTACTTACCATTAACTCTGAATTGGATTAAATATGGTTAAAAAGAGCCACAAGCCCAAATGCATTCTTGCTTTGTATGAGGTCTCTTCCTGCACTCAGGTGGGTACAAGTTAGGAGGGACTGCTGGATTCATTTTTCCCATCGTGGACCTCGCTGCTTCTGCTCTTGAGTGCAACCTGTAAAGGCAAAAAGTGGATATATGTAGAACAAGAAAATAGAACAAAAAGAGAGTATTTGTCACTAAGTTAGATAGCAGGTTTCTCTCACAAATGAGGATTACAGACTGAACAATGCAAGGGCTTCTTCACTCATTGATCTATTGTTTTTGTTAAATCCCACAGGCACCATATTAGTACCACATCCCACTGGTTTGAGTTCAGTTCTGCATTTTTGGAGAGATGCACCACAAACAAGTGCCTACGGACATCAAAGATCTGTGGAATATGGAAATTTAATGGCATTTAGCTAACAAACCAGTAACAGCATTAATAATTTGCTTTTGCTCAAAAGCACAACAGTCTAACAAATTATGTATGGGCACCAATTTAAATCTGAATATTTCCGAGAAAAGCAGAGGGTTGCAGTTAGGTAAACAGAGGCGCAGAGGTTACAGGAACAGAGTTAGGCCAGAGAGTGCCAGAAACTGAATAAGAAAACAAGTCTGTGATTCAAGATTCCTAGATCCTTCCCTACTACCAAGTCTTCCCATCATCTTATCCAGTACAAAAGTGTCTTCACCCTTCTGCAGCCTTCCCTCAGACAGCTATCCAGGTGGGCTAAGGTTAAATTTTACTTAGGGACACAGTAGCATGATTTATGCCACAGGGAACATCACCTGAATTTTAACTGAAGCAAGAAATTAAAAACTGAAATAAACTTCAGAAAGAGCAAAGAGAAAAAAAATAAAAATACCTTTAAAATACCCTTTGAACCATAGGCTCTAGAGCCATTCTCTTCCCAGGAGGCATTTATGGATCCTAATACCTACAGAAGGTGGGAGAAGGTAAGGCCCTCCCCAGACAACAGCCAGGAAGCCAACACAAACAAAGTAATTCCTGCACTGTCAATATCATAAAGAAGTTGTAGGCACCTTTTTATAATGACAGAGTACTCTTAATAAAAGCTTCAAGCAGGTTTTATAGCAGCATATTATCCAATGAAACCGGTAATAAACAGCACTGTAGCATTATTTAGTGCAACTCTAATACGCCAAGAGCCGCAACCTCAGTTTTATTTATCACACAGGCTAAAATGTTAGTTCTTGGCTTTACAGTAGCAGCCAAGCCTGTAGCTATTTTATCCCAGCACACTGCCATCTGGATATTGATACTTTGCTATGAGATATGAAAGAAGAGCATAGTTACCTAATACAGCTTAACTGAAAACAGGACCTACATAATACACATTATTCCATATAAAATTAAATCTGAAGGGCACAAAAAGTTCTGTGGATGTCAGCAGAGAATATTTCAGAAGTAAACATTGAGTTCTTGATCTGTGATAGAAATGCTGAGAAATACTGTGAAAAAGATGTGCTTATGGAAAGAAAAAGATAGGTTTTGCTCTGCTGGGAAAAAATAGCTCAGGAAGAAGCATCTCCCTATGGAGGAGTAGGAGAGTGATCAGTCACAAGTTTGTTAATATAGTAAACTTTTATGATGATCTGCATTCACCTTGAAAGGTCTGACTGGCTTGCTTTTTTCCCAATGAGATATACTTAAAAAATACTAAAATATTATTCTGGCTTTACAAATACATTCACCTTAATCTGCAGAAAGCAGCTTCAAGCATCACTTGTATCTTCATTATCCCCATTAAGGGACAGAAACGAAGAAACTCTAATAAAAATCAGAAATTATGAGCTGTTAAAACAAAAATTCTTTGGGTGTAAGACTACGAAGGCTACCCAGCTTTACATGTCTTCTCAGAGAGGGAACACTGAGGTCTCGTAAATACCGGCCATAAGGACTGGAAATATATGTAAGTAAAGTAGATAAAACACAAACCCCTTTTTACATAACACTGCTATTTAAAGTCACCCACCTCCAACACCCACACTGGAGATCACATTCCAGCTACGGGAGCTCCCATCATGCTGCAGCACCTGCAGTTGAAAGGGAGTTTGACACTGTATGGAAAGCTATGGGCACATGCACGTCCCACGGAATGGCACAGGGAGCCACAGCCATCCTTCCTGCTGAGGTGCTTCTCTTTCACAATAAGGAGCCAACAGTAGATGTGTCTTCCTTTAAGTGAAAAAACTTGCTTAGACATGAAAGAGAGCATTTTTAAATTTTCTCCACTAAAGTCAACGATTAGGAGAGTCTATTTTCTACATATGCCCATGGAACTTTAAGCAAAATAAACCCTAAAGACATTCTTAACTTAGTCCATATTATGCCAACAAATTCAAGCAAATTGTGCCATTTAAGTTAACTACAGGAAACTATAAGAAAAGTGAAATACCTTTTCAGGTTCTCCCATGATATTTCAAGGTCTTTAGAGTTACAAGTTCAATACAATAACTAGGTGCTTAAAAGTCCTGCCGGCTGTGCTTCTGTGTATGCTTTTATCCTACACACTAAACAGGTTTGCTGATGCAATTTAAAAAGGAACTCAGACTGATAATCAGGTTCCTTTCAGCAGGGGGGGGGGAAAAAAAGAAAAAAAGAGATTTTACATAGAAAGGCTTGCTAAAAAAAAAACACCAAGCCCCCCCCCCCCCCCCCCAAACAGTCTATCTAAGCCACCTAATACCCAATTGCTAAACACAGAAGAGTTATTCTAGGTGTTTGTGAGCTTATACCTTGGTCTCAGACTGAACAGAGCATAGTAACAAATAATAAATGCAGGCAGAAGAAAGAAGAGAGTAGCCGAGGGTGTCTTGCAGAGCTCTCCCCAAGATCATTCACCTAGGCTAAAAGCCACCAGCACTTCCACTGCATAGACTGGCCCTGTAACTCCCAGCACTTCACCCTGGGAAGCCAGCAGCAACGCGCAGATGAGGAGGTACCTGCAGGAAAGTGGCCCTAAGTTTTACTGACGGTGCTTCAGCCAGTATTTTAGATGCACTGCTTTAGTTCTTGCTCAGCTAATAACGTATTGATTTAACATAGAAAAACACAAGCCACTCCCTCCTCTTTGCATGTAATTAGTTTTACTTCCATTGTAGTGCAAAGGTGAGAAAGGAAAATCTTTTTCTCTTCATGCTTAATTAAAAAGATGCATAGTAACATGTATTTATTTTGCTCTGAGTTGTTAATACTTTTAAATATACTGTATAAAACATCTCTTAGCAGATGTTTGCAGCAGCAGTTTCCACTGCCATCTAAGTCTTAGTGTTTTGTTTACAGGGACACCTTTAAACACAACAGACGAAGGGGGATTATCTTTTGTTGTTGTTTTTTTTTTAAAGAGGATTCCTTTTAATATCACATACATGACATCTTGGTAATATATTCATAAATTGAAGCAGATAAACAAATTACTCAGTAAGTGTCTAAGCTCAGGTATTCTGATAAAGAAATATTAAACAGGTTTTGAGAAAACAGCCTCCTTCTCATCTACTCATGTAAAAATAAAATAAAGAGTTGAAATGATCTCCTAATGCATCTCCCTTCATAATTCATGCCGAAAGATGACATTTTCTCAGGATCTTAATTAAGATAATGATGAACACCTGTGTCGGCATTCTTTGGCAAGACAGCATTATCCATCATAATCTTTTAAGTACTCTCAAAAAAACCCAGCAAAATAGTATGATGGAACCAATCTGTTGCCTCTCTTTGCACTAAGTTTTACGTCTCAGATGCACACCAGAATGATTAGATCTTTAAAGACTGCAATAAAAGCAGGATCGTTATATTTTAATGTTTCATCAGAAAGTAGCTATTAAAGTAATTAAGTTAAGGTGTAACATACCTAAGATACCCAAGTTTAACTCCATCCACTACAAGCCACCTGCAAACAAAACACAGTTAGAGCCCACCAATGGCTGTACTTTAAAAATGCAACTTACTGTTATGTTCAAGATCACCTTGCATCTTTTTTCCCTCCCATAAAGATAATATTCACAGATGATCCCTATTCTGTTTATGTGCTAATTTATTAAGCTATTTTATGCTGTACCACATATGTTTGCAAAACCTAAATGAAATTATGCAGATTAAACCAATGTAGAAAAACTAATATGCAAGTTCAAATATTGCTACACTTTGGGTCACCACATTTCGTGCAGTCATCTCAAATGCAAGTTCTCCTTGTGTCAAAAACCCTATTGGAGCTCTACTACTACAGTAAGCAAAGACCATTTTAAACAGCTTTACAGGACCAGCCCAGAAGACTGAAGGCTATAGAAATAATGACTTTAATCGTGTATTTATATAAGCCAAATTTAAAGTCACAAGCCTTTAATTTAAATAAAGCAAAGAGTGCACAACCAGCCTGTAAATCCTACTCATCATTAGGTAAGAACTTAATGCTAATGTTTCTTCTATCGCATTAATGTTTAGCTTCCAAGGAATTATGATGAAAAATATATCAATTACAGAATTTTAATATTGACTTGCACTTACATCATTTCATTGGCAGCTGCAAAGCAAACACCTGATACCAAGAACTTATCCATACCTTCAAATGCAGTAAAAATGAAAAGCAGCAAATAAATCCTGAAGCACCACACATTTGTTATAAAAATTGACAGACCTACATAAACAAGCGTCTTGAAACAAACTTCTTATTTCCCTTCAATCAAAGGGCTGAAAAGACCTGCAAAGCAGATTAGTCTTAAGCTTTCACATTTTAGTATGGCTCTACGGGAGTTAAAAGTTGCTGTGACTAGTCATTCAGTCGAGCTATCAATGTGCAAATAAAGCAGAAAATAGAGACATCCTTAAGAAATGAGCCTCAAAGTTGATACAAAGTGAAGGTGACAACCAAAGCAATAGAACGATAAACTAAATGTTTCAATATCTTGAATAATTATCTACAGCCCCTTTAAAACTGCAAAGAATATAATCGTGGCATAATGTGGTGAGAATGTTGGTTTGACAGACACTTGATGGCACAAGAGTCCTACGGCTCCCGCTTATTAATCGGCTCTGGTACTCTGCTGCCGTGCATGAAAGTATGCCTGAACTCACCACAGTTCCCGAAACGAAGCAAGATTAGTAGAACATCAGAAATAAAGAGGGTAATTTTACATGACGTTAACCTTACCTCCTCTTCACAAAAAAAAGCCAGATGCCACGGGAAGATGGTTAGAACTTCTCCCTACAAAGAAACGTGCAAGGAAAAGGGGCTGGTTATTCTGCTCGCACACCAAATGAATGTTAAACGTATAAAACTTTAGCTGATGATACCTCCCTCCCGGAATAAGGGCTATTGTCAGAGGATTATAAGAGAAATGCTTTTGACTGGAAAAAGAAACGCGGTGCATGAGAGCGGCAGCTGAAATGAGCCGCGGTACAAACACCGGTGACACCGTGCGCTGAAAACTGGTGGAAGTGCACACCTGTGTGGAGTGAGCTTGTAAGGGAGCGTGGATTCGCCGACAGAGCCTGCCCGGGCACCGGGGACACGGGGACTGCTAAGAAAACGGCACAACGACGCTTCCACGTTAGGAAAAATAAATAAAGATAAATTAAAACGCGGGGAAATTAGATAAAGTAGGGAAATGACAGGCAAACCGCTGCTCGACAGCCTCACCGAGGAGGGTGCCCAGACCCACCTAGCCTCGCTGTACGCCGCTCCCGCGATCGCCGCCTTACTGCGGGGCCCGACGCGGCAGCGCTCTCCGGCTCAGCAGGACAGCGACCCTGGGAGGCGACCGGACCGAGAGCTACTCCGCGCCGCCAGCGTCCCGGGAGCTGCTGCCCGTTGGGGCCAGAGCAGTGCCGGGGCCCGCCCGGCAGGGGGCGCCCCAGCACGGCAGGGCAGCGCTGCCGCCAGGGCCCGCATCTCCGCCGGACGCCGCCGTCCCGCCACGCCGCTTCCTCTCCTCACCTCACCGGCGGGCCCGGCCCCGCGCGACCTGACACGACCAGCAGCCGCCCCGGGCGGAGCGGGGCTGATCCCGACCGGGCTGGGCCTCGGCCCGCAGGACCTCCACTCGCCGTCCTGCCAGCGCCGCCTCCGGACTCCCCGGCAACCGCGCCGCAGGCCGCCACCGCCCCTTCACACCCCGTTCCGCCCAGCGCTGACGGACAGCCACCCGGGCCAATGGAAGCAGGGGAGGGCTCGCGGCCGGCGGCGGGACAGCCAGTCACGCACCGGGACGGGCGGGGCCAGGACCACGGGCTGATGGGGAGTGTAGTGCGGGCCGCGCCCCGCCCTGGCACCGCTGCTGCCCGGATCCTCTGCTGAGACACCGGGGAGATCGGTCTCTGCCCGCCCAGTCTTGCGCCCGGCACCTCCTGCCGCCCTGCAGCGGGGCTGCTAGGGAAGGTTCAGGCTGTGTCCCGCCATTTGGCAGCGGGACTGTGGCCGCAGCTGACGGGACGAAGCCCCGGAGGAAGGGAAGGAGGGAAGGAAGGAGGGAGGGAACGAGGTGGAGCGGCTTCGGTGCCACCTCCTCGGCGACCTGTGGAGCTTCTGCCCCGGCCTTCTTCGCGTCTCCGCGTCCGTTCCTCTGGGTCCAGCGTCGAGAGGACTCAGGGCAGGGAGATGTAAAAGTTACAAGATTAAAAAATTTACTAAGATAAATGTAATTAAATCGTCTCCGTCTCCCGGGAAAGGCATGGACGGGGAGAGGGGGTCCGGCACCGCCGGTGCCAGGTCGGGGCGCGGAACCCAGCGGAGGGTACGATCAGCGGCCGCGGTAGCAGAGCTCTGCCTCAGCCGCGAGTGGAAACAAGCGAGAAGGGAATAACCCGGGATGTGTTCCTGCAGGGAAATGTATCTGGTGGAATCAAAGGAGATTACATCTCCTGATCGGCCGGGATTTATCCCGATTCATATGGTTTTAATCTGCTTTCGCCACGACCCAGCAGGGGCGGGGAGGGGAGGTATCTGTGTATCTTAGAATCCGCGGGCAACCCTCCCCTGCCAGCCGAACAACTCCTGCAGACCCGTCCCGTCCCGCCGCTCCCCGTCCGGGTTGCCCTGCTCCGGGACCGGCTCTGGGAACCACTACTTCCATGCGGCCCCCCAAGCCCCCCGTGAAGCCAACCCCCGCTTCTCGCCGGACCCGGCGACACTTGCACAGCCGCCGCAACAAGTCCGGTAGCCCCGGGCGGCCCCCGCCCGGCCAGCCGCGCATCCCCGCACTGCCAGACTGGCTGCGGCGCGGCCCTTCCCTGCCGAAAACCGCCTTTTTTGTTTAGAAAAAGTACCACCACCATTCACACACCCCGATCTATTCCACCTCCAGTGATTTAGGGGAGGGAGGGGCAGGGGGCAGAGAGCAAGAGGAGGGGTGGCTACGCAGAGAGGGAGCCGGGCGGCTAATAAATCTTATTAAATATCTACTTTTTTTTTTTTTCATATACTGATTGGCTTGCATTCCGGCGCAGCGCGGCTCCGCGCGGTATTTAGCACATGCAGAAAGTTGGGGCCGATCTCAAACGGCTCGGCGGTGTCTGCAAACCAGGAGCCGGCGCACTTGAGCCTCCAAGCGCGGGGAGGGCCGAGGGAAGCGCGGAGCCCTCCCGCTGGTTGGGCCCGGCCGCGCAGCCCAGCGGGGTCCTGCCAGTCCTTCCACTGACAACACCCCGCGAAGGAGGAGCCTCGCCGGGCCGCGCAGAAGGCGTCAGGAGCTGCAATTTCCAACTTAGCATCTTGGCAGGACCCTTCGGAAAGCGAGAGCGAGGAGGAAGGAGAAAAAAAAAAGCCCCCCCAGTGCAAGGGAGAGAGAGAGCGAGCGAGGGAGGGGAAAGGAAAAAAAAAAAAAGGAGAGGGGGAAGCGGGGGGTGGGGGGAGAAAAAGGAGGAAGCGGTGCCGGGCTGCAAGCGAGCGCGGAGCGGCAGCCCCGGCGCAGAGCAAGGTGCCGCCGCTGCCCCAGCTGTCGAGGGCGGAGAGGCGCCGGCGAAATCCCGGTCACAGCGGCTCCAGCCCGGCAGCGCGGCGGTTCCCTCCCGGCGCTTGGGCTCCCGGGTGTATGTGTGCGCCTGGCCATGTCGTATCCTCAGGGTTACTTGTACCAGCCGTCAGCGTCCTTGGCTCTCTATTCATGCCCGGCGTACAGCACCAGCGTGATCTCCGGACCCAGGACCGATGAACTAGGGAGATCTTCTTCGGGCTCCGCTTTTTCCCCTTATGCCGGATCTACCGCCTTTACCGCCCCTTCACCGGGTTACAACTCCCACCTCCAGTACGGCACCGACCCGGCCGCTGCTGCCGCCGCCGCCTTCACTTCCTACGTGGTAAGCGCAGCCCCGGGCTGCCGGCACCGCGCCGGGCACGGCGGCATCCCGCGGGCGCCTGCACCCCCCTTCCCCGCGCCTCCTTTTTTTTTGGATTTTATTTTGAGGTATCGGGGAGACAAAAGGGAGCACGGCTCCCCGTCTTGGCGCCCAACTTTTCCGCATCGCCGCCCTGTGCCGCCGCACACTGTTGCGCACAGCCGCCGGAACGGCCGGGGAAAGACGGGCTGGGGCTTGCGGGAACGCATTTCACACGTCATCTCCCCCCAAAAATAAAATTTTGAAGTATATATATATTTTTTAATGAAACAGCAATCATGTTCCCGCAACAATTAGCTTGTTGCGGTTTAAAAGGGAATGGACCCAGCAGTGGCCGGCGATGGGAGAAATCTGGGTGATAAACCAAGGCAACTTTCCCCTGCACGGCGATAATTAGGCTGCTTAAATATTTCAAAGCTCTAATCCCACGGCCGCGAGCAGCTCCGCGGGCACTGCGCGGGGAAGGGAAGGAGCAGACAGGGCACTGCGCCGCCGTTCGCGCCTGCGGAGCCGGCCCGGGGCATTTCTGTCACAGAGCTGTTGTCGCCGCCTGTGCCCCACGGTTCCCCCAAACCCCCGAAGTTTTGTTCAGCTTCTCCCCTAGGCAGAGATTCACAGTATCTTATTTCATTTTTCTGCTCTTCCTTCTTTTTCTCTTCTTTCTTTTCTCCTCTTTATTTTCCTTTTGCTGCCCCTGGCCTGGCAGAGAAGCCTCCCAGCCCGGCTCGGCCGCCTGAGCCCGGCAGGTTGCCCCTCCGCGATCGCAGCGCCTTGCGGAAGGGAAGGGTGCCCCCGCCGTTGTTCGCCCCACGCCGCGCTGCCCACTCGCTTTTCCGTGTCTGCGTTTGGGAGAAAGGCGCTGGATCGCTGCAGGCGGCCGGTGGCCTCATGGGGCCGGAGCCTCGCGGCCCTTCCGCCAGTTCTCCCGGGAAGGCCGGGGGTGAAGCCGGGCAGGGCCAGAGGCCGGGGAAGAGGCGGCGGGGCGCGGACGGGGGCTGCGAGCAGGCCCTAGGGCTGCCCTTGCCGTGTCATTGCCGCCCCGCTGCCGCCTGACTTCACCCCTCCGGGCCGCTCTCCCCTTTCTCCCCAGGGCTCGCCCTACGACCACACGCCAGGCATGGCCGGCTCCCTGGGGTACCATCCGTACGCGGCGCCGCTTGGCTCCTACCCTTACGGGGATCCCGCTTACCGCAAGAACGCGACGCGGGACGCCACGGCTACCCTCAAGGCCTGGCTCAACGAGCACCGGAAAAACCCCTACCCCACCAAGGGCGAGAAGATCATGCTGGCTATCATCACCAAAATGACCCTCACCCAGGTCTCCACCTGGTTCGCCAACGCACGGCGGAGGCTCAAAAAGGAGAACAAAATGACCTGGACCCCTCGGAACCGCAGCGAGGACGAGGAGGAAGAGGAGAATATCGACCTGGAGAAGAACGACGAGGACGAGCCCCAGAAACTAGAGGACAAGGGGGACCCAGGGACGCCAGACACAGGTAGGGCAGAGGGCTTGGCTGAGCCACGGCGGCCGCGCCCTCGGGTCTGCTCCCACTTTACCCTCCGAGCGGGAGCCCGAGTCAGGGGAGCTGGGGGCAGTGCTGCGGGACTGTCGGTGGTGGGGCCTGGGAATAGTCGTGGGGGACGGCGAAGTGGGTGGGCGGGTTTCGGGGTACAGGGAAAGCCCGAAAGCTGCCCCCCCACCCCTCTCCTTTGCCCCACTCAGGAGCGGCAGATCCCAAAGCAGCGCCGGGCTGCGAGCGCCTCCAGGAGTCCCCCGGCCCTCGGGAGGCCGAGGGCGGCCTCAGCGACTCAGATTGCAAAGAGCCGGCGGAGGAGCGGCTCGACGGGCCGCCCGCCCCCTCCAAGGCGCCCGGTGCTTCACCACTAGGGCCGTGCCCGGTGAGTCGCGGGCCGCCACCGGCGGGCGGCGAGGAGCCCCCGCCGTACTGCCCGCCCTCCGCCACCTCCGGGCCGCCGCACGCCGCTGACCTCCACCCGCTGCTGCCCGCCGGCGCCTCCGTCATCCACTCGCCTCAGCAGGCGGCCCTCGCCAAGCCCAAGCTCTGGTCCCTGGCCGAGATCGCCACCTCGGCGGACAAGGCGAAGGAGAATGGTGGTGAGCCGGTTCCCCCCGGCCCCGCCGTGCTGTGCGGCGGCGGTCCCTCGCGCTCTCCGCCGCGGCCGCGCTCGCCGGCAGCGCAGTGCCCGTTCCCCAATGGGGCGGTCCTGCCGCGGCCGCTCTACTACACGGCTCCCTTCTACCCCGGTTACACGAACTACGGCTCTTTCGGGGCCCTGCACGGGCACCCTGCCGGCGGCCCAGCAGCTGCTGCCCCCGGCGCCCATTTCAATGGATTAAACCAGACTGTCCTCAGCAGAGCAGAGAGCCTAGCTAAAGACACTAAAATGATCAGGAGCCAGTCCCAGGTAGACCTTTGCAAAGACTCACCTTACGAACTGAAGAAAGGTATGTCCAACATTTAATATCGGCTTCTTCTCCTTACCCCCTCCTGGGACTGCGGTTTTGTTGTTTTTTTTTTTTTTCTTTTTTTTATTTATTGAGAGAAATAATAAATTGCTTTGGCAGTTATTTTTCCACTACCAAAAGAAAACAAACAGAAAAAGACCAGCTCCCCCTTTCCCTTCCTCCCAGCACCCCTCCAAAAGTTTATAGATTTTATTGAAAATGGCTGGGTGGAAACTGCCCAGAAATGTCTTAACCAAGTGAAAATCAAGAGAGTGACATGCTCTCTCACACACACAAAGAAGAAAGATTTGTATTAAATCTTATTCTGTATATTTAATGTAGCTTTCTTTTTTATTATTTAAATTGATAATACAGTATCTTTGAAGTAAATTATGAAATCAAAACACCTGTACAGGCATTTATGTTGTTTTCGTAATATAAATATATACATTTCTGTGTCTTTTTCCGAATTGTTTCATAGTTTAAAAATATATATATACAAGTTTAATTTAAATTTTTTATGCCTTTTTTGTTTGGTTTTTTGGGGGTTTTGGGGGTTTTTTGTTGTTTTTCTTTCTCCTTGGGTGTGAGCTAAGCTATAATGCAAAAAAAAAAAAAAAAAAAAAAAAAGGTTATACTCTTTAAACACAGAAACTGCAGCCGCCTTTGTAAAATGCAAATATTTAAATGAGATTTTTAACAGAATCAAACCAACTCTTTTCTTTCAGCGGGCAGATAGGTGCATGGTTGCGGCAATCCCGCAAGCTGTAAAGAGTCGCGGGGATCCATTTAGGACCTTACAGTAGCACCTGAGCCTTTTTCAAAGGGACTGACGCTTTCTAAGAGGAAAACGGGGAGCAGCGGCACCGGGACGGGAGGGACGCCGTTTCCGGAGACGAAGGCTTCAATCGGGCCATGCACAAAAGCACTTGTTAGAAACATCAACCCGAAGCGCAGTCCCGTCTTTTAACCTAATTACTTCCAATCAGTGTCGCGTTTTATGCAAAGCAATCAGCTGGTGAACTTTGCTAATGAGTTCGATTTTCTGCCAGATTTAGCCCGCATCGCTGCTGCTGAGGTGCGGTGGCCGGGGACGGGGATTGCACGGGCAAAGGCCCTAGGTGCGGCGGGGACGCCCTGGCCCCGGCCACTTCCCCCCCCCCCCCCCCGCCTCCCCCCCGCCGCCGTTTTGCACCGTTGCCCCCAGCCCACGGGACGGCGCGGTCCGGGCGGCCATCCGCGGCCGCGCAGCCCTGGCCGCGGGTGCGGTGCTTCTCGGCGCTGGCAGGTAGGTGTCACACTCGGCCCGAGTTTGACTCCCGCCGCCCGCTCGCAGGTGCGGGAGCTCCGCGGGTAGCGGACGGCGGCAGCCGCCGGGGAGGGGAACGGGCCACCGGGACGCTCCCGGCTGCCAGACGTGCCCTGTGTGCGGGGACAGGCAGCGCCCCGGGCGCCCTCCCCCTAATTCCGCAGCTCCCCAGCCTCACTGGGGCAGAGCGGGGCCCGGAGGGAGCATTGGACCTCCCAGCGCGAACCTCGGCGCCAGATTCGGTCCCGGTGGCGCGGCGATCGAGCAGCCTGCCCCCCCCCCCCCCCCCCCGAACAAATAACGGCGAGAAATTGCTCCAGCACCCAGCTTTGAGAGGGGACTTTCCCCGTTCAAATCGGATTTTGTGGGTGCCGGTTGTACTCGAGCGCATCGCCGCCGTGAAGGTGATGACATGGTCGGGACCGCCGGGGATGGTGTCGTCACCCCTCATTTTGTTTGTTGTTTTTTTCTTTACGAGACAGATATTTTGTAATCTCTTCAACTTTGTCAGAGCCATTTATTAGCTGTAACGGGTTTACTCATGCATAATTTTAGGGGATCTTAAATAGTAGTTTGTATTTTATGTTTTGAAGATGAAGTTCGTGTTCACTTCGTTATACGATCTTTGTAGGCAATATGGTTTAAAATCAAAATTGTTTCAAGCTGAATGTGTAAAAAATCAAATATTACTGGGGATAATAGTATGTTATTTTGTCACTTTATAAATTATAAATGAATTTTAAAAAAACGCTCGAATTCCTCTGTTGAATCTTTACTTCTCAGTCGGGAAGACCTGCATGAAGGCGCTATTCTCAGCGCAACGGTGAGCTGTATTGGAGTGCCCTGCCTTGTTTATAACGGAAGAAAGTTGGCATGGCCGGGACAGGAGCAGCCCCCGGGCGCGGCACCGGGTCGCCTACAGCCGAGCGCCCCGGTTCACCGCTCCCGGCGGGATAGCCTCTCCCTAAACTCGGTGGAGCTCCTGGCACCCTGAGCCCCAGGGGCCGGCCAAGCCCCTCCGGACCGCATCCGGGCACAACAGGTCCCGCAGCGGAACGGCCCCTCGAAATAGGGTTTAATTTTTCATCTAGCTGTGGATTTTTTTTTTTTTAATTGTCGCTCTACCTTTTCCCAGCTGATCTTCCACCTCTGCAAAAGCTATTTGGCAAAGTAGTTTAGGAGCTTCGCTCGTTCAAAAGCCCCATTCCTTATAATCGAGGTTATTTTGAATACGTCTATCAGCGATCTCAGTACGGTTTTCGTTTGATGTATAAATTCCTAATGGAATCAAGCGTTTCCTTTAGGTTGCAGGCTGTCGCCTCTTTTATACTGTAACTATTATTGTAGCACTATCGATTTCATATAACAATTTTATTCTTCACCTTTTTCCACTGCCATGGGAGATAACGCTGTACAGCCTGTCTTTAACACAAGGTTTTTCCAGTTTTTGGTTTTTTGTTTTCCTTTTTGTAACAGAGCGGGGGGAGGGGGCAGTGTCTGCCTTTTTCTTTTGCCTCTGGCATGTTAATATGTTGTTCAAAAAAAAAGTTTGAGCATATCTTAAAATAAAAATAACGTCTGCTGCCAATTAAAGCTACCGCAGGTTACTCGGGAGCAGTCTCCAGAGAGGCCAGGACGACGCTCCGCGCCGGGAGCGGACCGTCGCCTGGGCGCCGAGCCGGGCGCAGGGCTGCCGCTTCCGCGGAGGTCTGGGGACAGGAGGGCTTCGTTACCGCTGCGGAGTGGTCGGGGGGGAAGGCGATGGGGAAAAGGCAGCTGGCGGCAGGGCCCTGCCGGCTGGGGTCCCACCAGCGCTCCAGGGAGCAGGTGCTTGCCCACGGGTGCAGATGGGAAAGGTCCAGCCTCCGTGTGGCGCCGCTCCGCGTTCGCGGGAACAGCTCGCCCCTTTCCGCCCCTCCTCTCCACCTCCTCCCTGCCGCCCGGCACGGCCCTTGATGAGCCGAGGAGCCGTGCCCCTCTCTTCCGCCCGCCCCGACGGTGCGGGTTTCGCGGCGCAGGTGGTAGAGGGGCGCGGCTCTCACGCAGGTGACAGTCCAACGTCCCCCTCCAAAACCCCGCCGTGAACTGCGGCTGTGAAGCGTGTTGGCCCGACTGTCCCTCAGGAGCTGCTCATCAAGGACCCGGACCCGCGATGAGGCATACGGAGGGTTCTGGCGAAAGCTGCAGCCCATCGCTGGGAGAGCGCAGCTGCCGCCGGAAAAGCCCGCTCCGCGCCCGTCCAAGTCAAGCGTGCTCTCCCTGGGAAGGGAAGGGGCTTCCCCGGGGAAAGCCACCAAGTGCCCCCTCTCGCCTGGCCCACCGCGGAGCCAACAGCCGGGGGCTGCAGCCAATGGTCCGATTCACCGTAAATTCTCCTGCGTCCTAGAAAGAAACAGACAGAGCTGCGGGTGCGATTGGCAGCCGTCAGTCCCCGAGCTCTGGCGGGGCTGGCGGGCTCCCCCCCTACCTTCAGCCCCGCTTCTCAATTGCGGAGACGGCGGGGGGAGAGGCGGGGGGGGGGGAGCCTGGCTCAGCCCGCAGCCCTGCTGCTTCCTCTTTCACGCTTAAAAACAAAACAAATACTAATTTAGACCTTCAACACCCAGGACCGTGTTTACATCCCCCCCCGCTGCTCTCCCCGCTAGTGTTGCTTTTCCAATGTCCCGATTAACCTACGAAGCTCCCGCGCGGCGCGGAGTCTCCGCGGCAGCAGGGACGGCGCGGTCGCGTCTAATTGGCTTATTGGGCTTCTCCCCCCTCCAGCCCGGTAAGAGGATCTGAACAGCATCTCCTCCCGTCGTGCCTAGAAACTGCTTGAAAGCACCTCCGCCAAGAGAACACGGGAAGTACACGGCTAGCAAGTTTAAAGGCTGCGACTGAAAAATACCACAGGGGTTTGCAGTAGGGAAAAGTACAGGAACTTCAGCCAAACCGTAGATGAATTTTAAGAAACTAAAAACGGGGGTGGTGGAAGGAAACCTCGGCCCCACAGCTGGGTCCGCACGGCGTCCAGCGCCGGTCCCAAGCCGGCGGAGCGGTGCGGAGAGCTCTGCCCCCCGGCCCCACCCGCCCCAGCAGCAGGAGCCGTGGCCTCGGGTCGGCCCCGCAGTGTCCGGGGAGCCGTCCCTCCCCCCCCCCCCCTTTCTGTGACCTGCCTAGGTTATTAGTAAGGACATCTGTGACTGGCAAGGGAACAAGTGTTACCAAAACCAGAACCGGCTGTTTTTCCAAATGAGCAATATGTTAATTCCTCATCCCCCCCTCTGGTTTCTTTAAAACCTGGCACAAATACATCAATAGCGGAGAATAAGGAGCCTTTGCAGAGAACAAGTGGCAGTTTTGAATTTACCTTTTGTGTGCGCCTCAGATGCAATCTTGAGGCATTTTTTCCCCTCTCTCCCACAGAAAAAGAGTGTTAATCTGCCCTGTCTTGGGACCCAAAAGGATTGGAGTGGAGTAGATATTCACTGGAATCACATAGGGGAATAAGGGTCTTGCTTTATTGAATCATCAAATCCCAGGAATGAAGCTCTTAATTAATTATGGGTGCTAAAAATTCAGGCCAGCTGTTTCTTTCTACTTGGCTCGGACAAAGACAAAGTCTACATCGAGATTTTCTAAGGCGCATTCAGCATAAATCAGCGCCCTCGGCGGCGCTCCCGGTCGCCGCGCGGGCCGGCGGTGACAGATGGCGCATTGTCCCCGCATTCCTCCACCGCCACTCCGCGGGCGCGGAAGCGGCCGCCCTGCCCTGCCCGAGGCCTTTTCTCTATGGGGCAAAGGGCTCGCCCGAGGCCGCGCTGATGCTGGTCGCGGTGCCGGCCCTGCCCGACGGGGCGGCCGCGGGAGAGGGCTCCTATGCGGGTGCGGCGTTTTCGCGTCAAACAGCGCATCGCAGCTCGCCTCCTTCCCGACGGCAGCCCCAGAACTCCGCGTCCTGCTCCCGCCCCGCTGGCAGGCTGCGGAAGAGCCCCCCGGCCCATTGGCCCTCGGCTTCCACGATGCTGAGGCCCTGGGCGCTACCTCCACGAGAGCGCCTGACGCTAACCTGAGAGGATATGGGACCCCCCCCCCCTCCCCCCCAAACACGGGTGCTTCTACTTCTTCCCCAGGGGCAGAAGAGTTTCTCTGCGTGGCCGCCGGCTGCCCCGGGAAGAGTGCGCAGGGTTCCGGAGCTGCCATCCGCAAGCGGCTGGAGG